TTGTTCTGCCAAAAACTTTTCACACCTGACAATATATTTTAAATATATCCCACGCGATATTGTTTTTCTGTCAATAAAAAATCTCTAAAAGCTCTTTGTTTTGTCATACTTTGGTTCCTCTGAACCCAAAGTCTTACCACGAAACAAAAGTTTCATAAAGACTATTTCATATTAGTTGAAAAATTCCCGCGCTAGGTGAAAAGTAAACCTTCCGAAAATATCATGAAACTAATGTCATGCGCTGATATTTTTTGGTTGGTTAAAAACTCAAAAGGTGCATCATGAAATAACTTTAACAGAGAAAAGAAAAAAGAACAAATTATAAATTTAATTTGAATCAAAAACTGTTTAAAAGGTTTCTCATTTTTCACATAAGCAAACGTCTATAAAAAGCAAAAAATATATGCAAGTTGAAGACAAAATGGGTAAACAAAAAGGATTATAATCGGTTATGATTGTATTAAAAGATAAATTGATGAGCAATCTATTATAGTCGATGAAAATGTATTATATAGCAGAAGTTCAATAAATGAATCGAAAGAAGGAAGCAGAACGACTGCGTATCCGTGGTCAATTTGCGGTTGGCGAATTCTACTTTGTCGTACCAGAGAAGATTATTGGCCTGTCTACTTTTTTAAGAATAAAAATTGATCCGAATCGTCTCTTTCCCAAAACTGAAAAACTCCTCTCCTAAATTACAACAAGGTTACTGCGGTGAGACCGTGTTTTTTGTTATTGGCTGTTTTATGGGGTATACGAGTAAAAATCAATTGTACCGTAAAAAAGCTTCAACATTATTCAACATTTCATAAAATGGCTCAGTTTAGCTCAATCAAACAATTTAAATTTACATCCGAAATCTTTCAAAACTGCTAGAATAAATTTTGAGCTTGATTGATCTGCCGCTTCCCATCTGTTTAAATAAAAAAAATAGGAACTTTGCGCCCGTCAATCATCCTAATTTAACCAAAGGACAATTTTCAAATCCCGTTAAATATACAAAATTATCAGAAGTGAAATATATTTTTACAGAGCCTCCCAATTGGCTAGTAAAACAACTTAAAAGTCTCAAAATTGTTTTGAAAAAGTTTTACAGAAAAAAAAGTTTCGTAGAATAGTCAAAATTGTCGTGCGGAACAACCTATCGACCACAAAATTTCCTTTTCAATCAAAACTTTTTTCAAAAAATAGAATGGTTGTCAACTATCACCAAAAAATTTAAAATTTTCTGCGATCTCAACCATCACATACAAAATATGGTTTGTTTCGTAAAACGTATCGTATCCTCGCTTGAATGTGCTTGATAAGGGTAACAACGAAATTTGGTCTCTTGGCTTAACATATGTGAAAAAATTGGCCAAGTAAATCGAGAAGTACGATAATCTTTAGTTGCTGTCGATTGTCTATCTCGCTATTTACGAGTCGAACCCCTGAAGACCAAATCTGCTGAAGAAACGGCCGAAACTTTCACAACGAATTATGAAAACAAAACAACCAAAAAAGTTCTGGATTGATAAAGTCTGAAATTCAAGGAAAGTTCGGAAACGAGATATCGCCATGACAGTGACACAAAATGAGCAAATGCCGAACGGAACTTTCGATCCCTCAAAATATTACTCGCAAGTACTGCAGAAAAAACTTCAAAGGTAAAAAAAAGAAGATGAAAGAACTAATGGAAAAATTGCTGGAGTGTTTCGAAGGTTATGGAATCCATTCAAGACCTGTTGGAAGTTAATAAAGCAGAAAGGGCAAAAGTAGTGCTAGAACAGTCGAGTAGTAGCTTAATCCTTGAATTTAGAACTTGACGGATAAGTTCTAATTCATGGAAAGCCAGCAAACGTTAAAATTCAATCTTTTTTGTTTGAAACTGAAACACTGCAAAACACAAAAAGAAACTTGAGAGTTTTAATTTATCCACAAATTTTGAAAGAATTGAAATTGATCCCAATTGGGTGCCCAACGTTTATTCCAAACAGATTCTCCGCTCGCTTACGAGCCAAGCAGCTCAGGCCTCAACTTCTTCCTTTGTCGCAGACAGTCCGACAACTTGAGGAACAGAAAAAATCAAAGCCCTCATTTTCGAAGACTCGATCGACCACTCTCAAACCCAGAATTAAGCAATCCGACCAAAAACCCAGAACCATTTTTTTCTCACTAAAGACAAAGACGAAGACGACAATATAAACACGAATGCAGTAAAAATTGTTTTCGACGTCAACAGAAGAATGGGAACCCTACAATCAGTGTAGACAATAAATACAAATTACTCTACTCGGTAGTTCTAGCTGCATTTATTAGCTTAAAAAAATTAACAAATGCCTGTCAACTCTCCCCAAAAAAGGTTAAAATTTTTCTGGGATCTCAATCATCACTTACAAAGTATGGATTGTTTCGTAAAAGGTATCCTCGCTTGAAGGTGATCGTTAACGAGATCAAAAAAATTTGAATTCTTGGTTTTTTTATGGAGAAAATTGGCCAAGTAAAGCGGAAGGGTACAATATTTGTTAGTTGCTGTCAATTGTCTATCTCGCTACTTACGAGTGGAGCCCCTGTAGACCAAATATGCTATAGAAACAGCCGAAGCTTTCAAAAAATTATCAAAACTGAACAACCAAAAAAATTTGGATTGACAAGGAGAGTTCGGAAAAATATGTACTAAAAGACGACATTGTCAAATACAACACTGACAGTGAAAAAAAAGATCAGCGTCTGTCGAGCGGAACATTCGATTTCTACAAAGTATTGTCTACAAGTATTGTAGAGCAAATAGCTTTAGACGGATATTGTTATTGATCAAGAATTTACGTATTTCAGAGCATCCCAAATAGAAGCAAGTAATTCCAACGCTGGCAATCGGAAAACAATTTCCAGGCCTTATTACGGGAAAACATTTTTATCAAATCAGACGAGTGCACTTTTTAAAATAAATTGATCATTGAGATAAAAGCAAAACTAAGAGACAAAATTCATTTCGAGTCAAGTCCTCAAGAAATCACGAATAGCTTGAGCATTTGGATAAACGCAAAGGATAGAATCTCATTCCTAAGTCCCCAAATATCCAGTCTGTTAGGCTACAATGCAAAACTTGAAAAAGTTGCAAATATCACATTGGTTACAAAATGAAACCCTCCTTTCGAAACGAACTGTACGAATTTCTTTTCCCATATGATTTATCCGCTAGGACAAGTCTAATTTTTGTCTTTACTGACACTGTTCAATACCAAACTGTTGGAGATGCAAAGGCCCCATTGTTGCTTCTCATTGATTTGACTAGACGCATCAAAAACGGCAGTGCCTGCAGGATTGAACCTAATCTACCAAAAAACTTCACTTAATTAGACTTCAATGTTCATTCATTTCATCTGCACAATTATTATCCGTACAGATGCGCACAGAAATTGAAAGACTAGTGCCTTTTGCAGGAACTTGTAAAGTTGTGTTGACTGTAAAGTTTAAGCGTTTCGATTGAAATCCAATGTAGCACTGTTATGCAAACAAGCGTCACTTCCTCATTTCTCTGGACACTACCGTCAACGCGGCAGTGGATTTTTTTTTTCGTCTTGCTATACAGTTTGCACAAGGGGTTAATCTACCAGCTGCGAAAAAAATGGTCAGAGACTTTTTGATGAGTACAGCGTCTGAGCTGATTGATGTTGCTATGAAAAAGAAGTCTTGAAAAACACTGTAAGAAAAACTGCAAGAAAACAACTCGGTGGTTGTAGACGTCGTTGAAAGACACCAATGAATGGATTACGAAGAAGGAAGTCTGTAGGAGCTCCAAAAAGAAGAACAATTATTCGGAGAAAAAACAGACCAGCGAGAAGTCGAGTAGATTTTTTCTCAAAGAAAAAGTAATAGCTAATTTGTCACCCAATGAAGCTACCCATAGCTTTTTGAGTTTGTTGAAAAAAACCTC